AGTTAACGTGGAGAATGTGCGGCCTTCTTCTCGCCGCTTGGGGGCCAACCCAGAAGAACCAAAATGGCCATGCCCGCGGGAACTCCCGGTGCCGAGACAAACCCCTGCCTGGCTGCCGCGCCCCAGGTGTCGCGGGAAAGTCTGGAAAAAAAAAAAAAGAAAACACTGAGGAAAATCTACAGGATATTGGTCTGGGCAAAAATTTCTTAAGTAATACCCCCACAAGTGCAAGTAACGAAAGCAAAACATGGACAAATGGGATCACATAAAGCTAAAAAAATCTGCCCAGCCGCGGTGTCTCATGCCTGTAATCACAGCACTTTGGGAGGCCCAGGCGGGCAGATCTCGGTCAAGAGACCGAGACCATCCCGGCCAACATGGTGAAACCCCGTCTGTACGAAAAATACAAAAACTAGCTGGGCTGTTGGCGCGCGCCTGTAGTCCCAGCTACTCAGGAGGTTGAGGCAGGAGAATCGCTTGAACCCAGGAGGCGTAGGTTGCGGTGAGCAGAGATCGTGCCACTGCACTCCAGCCTGGTGACAGAGCAACACTCCGTCAAAAAACGAACAAACAAACAAACCAAAAACTTCTGCACAGCACAGGAAACAATCAACAAATTAAAGAGACAATCCACAGCTTGGAAGAAAATATTTGCAAACTACCCATCTGACAAGGTATTGATAACCAGAAAATATAATCAGCTCAAACAACTCTAAAGGAAAAAAAAAAAATCCAATCAAAAATGGGCAGAAGATTTGAACAGACATTTCTCAAAAGAAGACATACAAAGGACAAACAAGCACATGAAAAGGCGTTCAACATCATCGATCATCAGAGAAAGGCAAATAAAGACTCCATGAAATATCATCTCATCCCAGTTAAAATGGCTTTTTTCTCAAAAGACAATCAATAACAAATGCTAGTGAGAATGTGGAGAAAAGAGAACCCACTGTTGGTGGAAATGTAAATTAGTATATCCACTGTGAGGAATAGTTTGGATGATCCTCGAAAAACTAAAAATAGAGCTACCATAGGATCCAGCAATGCGACTGCTGAGTGTATACCCAAAATAAAGGAAATCAATATATCAAAGAGATAGCTGCACTCCCATGTTTGTTTCAGCACTATTTACAATAGCCAAAATTTGGAAACAATGTAAGCGTCCATCAACAGATGAATGGTTTTTAAGAAATGTGGCATATATACACAATGGAGTACTACTCAGCCACAAAAATAATAAGACATTGTCATTTGTAACAACTGGGTGGAAGGGAGATCATTATGTTAAGTAAATAATCCAGGCACAGAAAGAAAAACATCACGTATTCTCACTTATTTGTGAGATCTAAAAATTAACACAATTGAACTCTTGGAGACAGAGAGTATAAGGACGGTTACCAGAGGCTGGGAAGGGTAGGAGGGGTTGGTGGAAGAAGATGAAGATGGTTAATGGGCATCAAAAAGTAATTAGAAAGAATAACTAAGACTTACTAATTGATAGCACAATGGAGTGGGTACAGTCAATAATTACATTGTATATTTTAAAATAACTAAAAGAGTGTAGTTGGATTGTTTGTAACACAAAGCATAAATTCTTGAGTGGATGAATATCTCATCTTCCATGATGTGATTATTACACATTACATGCCTGTATCAAAACGTCTCATGTGCCATATAAATACATACACCTACTATGTACTCAGAAAAATAAAAAAAATTAAAAAGCTACTCTACCTAATAAACGAATTCAGAAAAGTTACAAAGTACAAGTTTGACATGCAAAATAGGTTGTATCCCTCCCTACACAATCGCAATGAACAATTTTCAAAGTTAAGATTATATAAGAAAATTATTACAATTAATAAGAAAATAATTCCTTTTACAATAGCATCAAAAAGAATGAAATATATAGTAATACATTTAACAAGACATGAAAGACTTACACACTGAAAATTAGAGAAAACAAAACTGATGAAAAGAATTAAAGAAGACCTAAATACAAACGCTCGTGGGGATAGATACTCTATTTTCCATGATGTGATTATTATACATTGCATACCTCTATCAAAACAGGTCATGTACTCCATAAGTATATACACCTACTACATACCCATAAAAATTAAAAATTATAAAAATAAAGAATACCTAAAATATAGAAATACTTCTTGCATTCATGGATTGGAAAATGTAAGTCATTGAAGTGGCAATGCTACCCAAAGCAATCTACAGATTCAATGTGATGTTTATTAAAATTCCAACTATTTTGCAGAAATGGATAAGGTAACCCTCAAGTTCATATGGAATTGAAAGTGGCCTCATATAGCCTGAATAATCATGAAAAAGAACAAAGTTGGAAGATTCATATTTCCCAATTTTGAAACTTACTAAAAAGGTCCAATTATCTAAACAGTGTGTTACTGGTATAGAAATAAACATACAGACCACTGAATTTGAATTTATATTTCAGGTATAAACCCTTAACATATATGGATAAACTAATTTTGACAAGGGTGCCAAGGCTATTCAATAGGAAAAATATATTTTCTTTTCAATAAATGGTACTAAGAAAACGATTTACATATTTAAAAAATGATGTCAGCTCACTATTTGAAAACATACAAAAATTAATTAAAATAAATCAATTACCTAAATATATAATGTAAAATATAAAACTCTTAGAAGATAACATAGAGGTAAAATTTCATGACCTTGGATTTGGCAATGGATTTTTAGATATGACACCAAAAGGTGACAAAAGGCAAAAAGAAGAAAAAAATATAAAAGTGGGACTTCATGAAAATTAGAAGCTTCCGTGCATCAAAGTACATTACCAAAAAAGGAGAAGACAATCTACAAAAAAGAGAGTAATTATTTTCAAATCACATATCTGATAAGGCTGTAATATTCAGAATACATAAATAATACCTACAATTTAATAACAAAAAGGCAAACAGACCAATAATGGGCCAAAATCTTGAATAGATTTTTTTCAAAGAAGAAATAAAAATGGCCAAAAAGTTCATCAACAAATGTTAAACATTTCCGGGCGTGTTGGCTCACGCCTGTAATTCCTGTACTTTGGGAGGCCAAGGCGGGCGAATTACCTGAGGTCAAGAGTTTGAGATCAGCCTGGCCAACATGGTGAAACCCCCGTCTCTACTAAAAATACAAAATATTAGCTGGGCGTAGTGGCGCATGCCTGTAGTCCCAGTTACTTGGGAGGCTGAGGCTGGAGAATCGCATGAACCTGGGAGACTGAGGTTGCAGTGAGCTGAGATTGTGCCATTGCACTCCAGACTGGGTGACAAGAGCGAAACTCTGTCTCAAAAAAAGAAAACAAAAACAAAAACAAAGCCACCATTAGTCATCATGGAAATGCAAATCAAAGTCACAATGAGATACGACTTCACACTCACCAACTTAGGTTTAATCAAAAACCATGGAAAATAAGTGTTGGTAAGGATACAGATAAATTGGAGCCCTTGTCTATTGCTAGTGGTAATATAAAATGGTGCAGCCACTGTGGAAAATAATATAGTAGTGCCTCAAAAAGGTATACATAACATTATCATGTGACTCAGTAATTCCACTCCAGGCATACACCCACCAAGAATTGAATACTGGGACTCATACTTGTACACCAATGTTCATTGCAGCATTACTTACAATGAGCAATAGGAGGAAACAACTCAAGTCTGTCAGCAAATGAACAGATAAACAAAATGTGTTATATACATAAAATGGAATATGATTTAGCCATAAAATATGATTTTACGATACATACTACAATATGGATGAATCTTGAAAACAGAATACTAAGTGAAATAAGTCAGATGCAAATGTAAAAATATTGTATGATTCCCCTTATATAACATACCTAGAATTGGCAAATTGACAGAATCAGAAAGTAGATTAGAGTTTACCAGAAACTGCAGTAAGGGAGAGTTAAAATTATTGCCTAATAGCGACAGATTTTGCTTGGGATGATTAAAAGCATTTGGAAATAGATAGTAGTGATGATTGTACAACACAAATGTAATCAATGCCACTGAATTGTACACTTTTAAGTGTACAATAGTAAAATGCCTAAAATGCCAAAATTTTATGTTATATATATTTCACCAGAATAAATATTTTTACAGAATGAATGTTTTACAAAAATTAAGCTTCTTGTTGAAATAACATCAATTTAGAAGTCTGCATTACTTGCTTTCACATGCATTTTTCAGCTGACAAAAGATAAAAGCGTAAATGTTTCACCCAGATAGTAGATATATAATGGACACAACATTAAACTTATATTAGTGGGGGAATTTTAAGAGATAATGTCAAAGATGATTTGAAGAGGTAATCTACCTGCCAATAACACAATACTAGTAAGACTGCAAATATAGGCTATTGATTGGTAACAGATCCTCAGGTACCATTTGACTACTTTCAAATGGAAAATAAGTACATTATAGCTATTGTTGTTCATTCTTCGAGTTGGTTGAGGCTTTTCCTTGCTGCTAAACTAAAAATGTAATGATATTTTAGAATTCTTGATTATTTTTATTCCCAAATTGGAAAATTCATACTTATCACTCCAGTAACAAGGATGTACATTTCTCTGGTACCATTATTTAATATTTAAGAGTTCTTTGCAGCTTACATTTAACTCAAAATTTCAACTGTCTTTATCACCCAGAAACTTCAGGAAGAATAAAGAGAATTAGTGAAATTGTAATAATGTAATTGTTCAAAACTGTAGTAACCCTCAAATTTCTAAGGCACAAAAAGTCATTCTTATCTGATAAAAGTAACTTCATACCTCTCAAGGACCCACAAGTTATCTCCTTATGAGTTATTAACAGGCTGTGTCATGCAGTGTCATGAGAAATTTCACTTCCAATCCTGTATTCTAGTCTATTACAGGCTAATGACAGAATAATACATACTACTCAAATGATATCTCCAGCTTTATTTACAACAAACACAAGGAACATTTTCAAAACTCTTACCTAAACATTCTCTGATGGAATCACAATCCTGGAGATTTGGTCTTCTGAAAAAGGCATCAAAGAAAAATTGTTGTTGGGCTTCAATTGAATTGACCAAATTAGGTGCTGTTTTATTCATTTACATATCAGCAAAACTCTAGTGTTGATCCTGGGATTCATCTAGGTTTTAAGCCCCACATGCATTAGGTATTTGTCCTAATGCTCTCTCTCCCCTTCACTCCAACTCCCTGACAGACCCCCGTGTGTAATGTTTGCCTCCCTGTGTCCATGTGTTCTTTCTTCAACTCCCACTTATGAGTGAGAATATGCAGTATTTGGTTTTCCGTTCCTGTGTTAGTTGCTGAGAATGATGGCTTCCAGCTTCACCCATGTCCCTGCGAAGAACATGACCTCATTCTTTTTTATGGCTGCATAGTATTCCATGGTGTATATGTGCCACATTGTCTTTATCCAGTCTATCATTGATGGACATTTGGGTTGGTTCCAAGTCTTTCCTATTGTGAATAGTGCTGCAACAAACATACATGTACATGTGTCTTTATAGTAGAATGATTTATAATCCTTTGGATATATACCCAGTAATGGGATTGCTGGGTCAAATGGTATTTCTGGTTCTAGATCCTTGAGGAATCGTCACACTGAAGCAGGACTGCTGGGCAGGAAGCCGGGCAAGATGGCTGGGCAGGAAGCCGGGCAAGACCACTGGGCTGGAAGCTCCAGGGGATGTGGCACATCTGACTACAGGAGATGGGAGTGGATGGAGTTGACTGCTCTGTCATCTGGGTGTTTCTAGGGCAATAGGGGGCTGCACCCCTCAGCAAATTCAGGCAGAAGTAGAACTGCTGGGCCAAAAGCTCTATCAGGCATGACTCACCTGGCTACCAGCAGTGGGGGTGGGTGGAGATGCCATCCCTACTGTCTGGGTACCTCCGGCGACAAAAGGAGGCTGTGCCCATTGGCTAAGTTTCCACAGAAGCAGGCTTACTGGGCCAGAAGCTCTAATACACATATCCCACCTGGCTACTAGTAGTGGGGGACAGCAGGGTGGGTGTTTCTCAGGACAACAGGAAGCTGCACCCTCTAACTGAGCTCACACAACAGCAGGGCCACTGGGTCAGAAGCTCTAGTATGCATTGCATTCCTGGCTCTCAGTGGCAGGGATCAGATCAGTGGGGTCACGCACCCTGCCATCCGGGTGTTTCTCAGGACAACAGGTGGCTGCACCCTCCAGTTGAGTTCCCACAGATGCAGGACAGTTGAGCCAGAAGTTCTAATAGGCATTGCCCACTTGGCTGTCAGTGGCATGGGTGGGTGGGGTCACCTCCCCTGCCATCTGAGTGGTTCCTGGGACAACAGGAGGCTGCGCATGCCAGCATAGTTCAGACAGAAGTGAGGCTGCTGGGCCAGAAACTCTAATAGGTGTCACCTGCTTCATTAATAGTGGCTGGGGTGGGTGGAGTGTCATGTGCATGGCTGACCAGGTGTTTCCCAGGATAACAGAAAGCTGGGCCTTCTATCTGACTTCAGAAAGAAGCAGGACTGCTGGTCTAGAAGCTCTAGCAAGCATTACCTGCCTGGCTATCAGTGGTGGGGGCAGGCAGGGTCATGTACTCTGCCATTTGGATGTTTCGTGGGACAACATGAAGCTGTGTCCTCTAGCTGAGTTGACGCAGATGCAGGGCTGCTGTGCTGAAAGCTCTAGCATGCGTTGCCTGCCTGGCTACCATTGACAGGGGTGGGTGGGGTCACATATTCTGCAATCCAGGTGTTTCCTGGGACAACAGGAAGCTGTGACCTCCAGCTGAGTTTACACAGAAACGAAGCTGTTGGGGCAAAACTTATAGCAGGCATTGCCTACCTGGTTGCCAGTGGTGGGAGTGGGTGGAATCATATACTCCAAAATTTGGTTGTTCACCAAACAACAGGAAGCTGTGTTCTCCAGTTGAGTTCACATAGAAGCAGGGCCACTGGGCAGGAAGCTCTAGGAAGTGTTGCTCACCTGGTTTCCAGTGGCAGAGTCGGGTGGGGTCATGTGCTCTGTCATCCAGGTGTTCCTTGGTAAAACAGGAAGCTGCACCCTCTAACTGTGCTCAAACAGAAGTGGGCTGTGGGGCCAGAAGCTCTAACAGGTGTTGCCCACCTGGCTTCCAGTGGCAGGGAAGGTGGGGTCACACACTCTGCCATTTGGGTATTTTCCAGGACAACAGGAAGTGGCACCATCCAGCTGAGTTCACAAAAAAGCAAGATCACCAGGGCAGAAGCTCTAGCAAGCACTGACATCCTGGCTATCAGTGGTGTGGCTGGATGGGGTCATGTGCCCTGCTGTCAGTATGTCTCCTAGAACATCAGGAGGCTTCACCCTCCAGCTGAGTTCACACAAAAGGGAGAACATGAGGCTGAAGGCTATATCAGGCATTTCCAATTTGGCTACCATTGGCAAGGTGGGTGAAATGGCTGGCCGAATTCAAGCCAAAGTAGGACCACTAGGCTAGAAGCTGGTGCTGAGCCTCTTCCAGCAAGGGGAAGGAAAGCAATCTTACAGTTCCCAGATACTGCCACTTTGGCCTCTACTGGAGCTATGGTGCAAGTATTGGTCTTTTCTGGGCCCAAGGCTTGTAGAAGTCCCTATGGACTTAAAAGTTGTCCATGAAAAAGTCTCAACAGTTTTCTGCCTCAGTCTTAGAAGTGTAGTAGGGGGACAGGGGGACGGGGGATTCTCCCATTCCTAGTCTTGCACAGGTCCTTGTCAGAGTGTGAATCTCCTTAGGAGATCTCACTCACTCTTCCCCGTGTTAGAGAGGTTCTCCTGGCTCTTTGCTGAGTCCAAGCTGGCTGTTGACCAACTTTGATCCTTTGCTCTCTGTGTTCCCCTGCTGCATTGATGGATCCTGACCTGGTTTCTCAGAAGATCAACCTGCAGGGTTAGTGTTCACTAGCCCTTTTGTTTCCTTTCTTTGAGAACAGCGCACATGAGCTGCTTCTAGTCTACCATCTAGGCATTGCCTCTCATGCAGCTAAAAATGACCCAATTGCTCAGATTAAAAGCTTCCAAAAGCATTCTGAGTTCCTAGGCACTATTCAAATAAAAACAAACAAAAACCTGATATATAAAAAAATAGGCCTGACCTATTATTGGCTACAAGAGTTCAAGAGGATTTCAAAAATTTGGTGGGAAGAAGCTTTAAGATGGCTGACTAGAGGCATCTGGTACTCACGTACTCCACAAAGATGAATGGAAGATGTGAGTACCAGATGCCTCTAGTCAGCCAACTTAAAGCTTCTACCACTCAAAGCCAAATTAGTGAGTAGATAATATCATCTTGAATAGATCACCTAAGACAGAATGCTGAAATTTAACAGAAAAATGACAGAAAACATTTAAGGCAAGGGAGGAGACAGAAGCAAGGTAGCCTGCTTGGTCAGAATTGGCTTAGAGCCTGGAGTGGATCCTCAGTTAACGGAAAGTGAGAGGCTGCCAGCTGTAAAAATTCCCAGCATGATCTTATGCAATCCTAATCATTGTAAAGCCCCTTGGCCCTTGTAGGCCTGGAGACTAATGTAAGGAGTGGCCTGGAGAACACACTGTGACACTGCTCCACAGAGGAAGCTCACACTGTGTCTCAAACACCTCCTGAGTCCTAGGCAGTTACAAGGCACCATATTGAAGGTCTAGTCCCCACCAGACTGCATCCTGCCTTAGGCCTCAATAGTTTCTGTATATTCACATCCCTGGAGCCTAATTGATATCCTCCACCCACATCCAGGTACCACTGCTGGCTAGTGTCAACAGGATTAAAGCAAGAACCATTAACAGTGAGCCTGCTACCCCCAGTAGCAGGACCACTGCATGTGTACAAGTGCAATGAAGACAAGCTACCCTGCTTGCAAAAACCACCTGGTGCTGAAGTACATGCTCCCCAGCTGCATGCCTAGTGCTGCTGCCAGTGCAAGCAACCTCACCCTCCTGAGCATCAGGGAAGCAACAAAACTACTGTTGCACCAACCTGCACATACTGTACATATCCAGGCCCCTGTCTACCATAGCCAGTGCTCACATGAACCACTGAGGGGCCTGAGAACAGGCCCATCTTGCCCAACTCTGCCCCTAGAGAGCCTGAGTCCAACATCTGGGGGCCTGGGAATCACCCTGCCCCATTCATCACCTTTGGCATCTGAGCACTCCTTCTAGGAGACTGAAGAACACCCAACATGCCACGACTGCAGCTGGTACCCACTCACATGCACAACTGCAGGCTTGAGTACTTTTGTGCACAGCACATCACAGAAACCACCAACACTATTGGAAACTACTTGGGAGCCAGAGTGTTGTTCTGCCCTTGTTACTGCCATCACTCATGTTACACCCATTACCCAAGGTCCCAAAGACTCACTTACCCACTTGGGCAAATGATGAAACTGCCTGTACCTGAGGAAGCTGTCTAGAGTCCAACAAATCAGCCTACCTACACCTGCTGTCATTGGGGTCAGTGTATGCCACTCTGGCGCCCAAAACTGGGGCCCTAAACCCACTGCTGCCACATTGGAAGCCTGAACACAGGCCTACTTGGCATTCACATCCACACACAAACATCACGACAGCCTCTACTAGCAGCTGCACCACAAACCACTGAAGAAATCATAGCAATAACTGCTGTTTACAGTCAAATAACTCATACAAGGACTACATTACTGCAAACACCCAGAATCAAACCCAAAGTTCCCTACCCAACCAACAGCATAAATTCATCTTTAAAAAAAAACCTTCTTTTGTGTGAAAATAAATTTAAAAAATTTAAAGAAACTGTTTGTACATTAGATGCACAGATATGAACGTAAGGATACAAGAAATATAACAAAGTAAGAAAAGACAACATCTCCAAAGGAATGCAACAACTGCCCAGCAACAGATCCATTGAAAAAAACTTATGAAATCTTAAAAAAGAATTGAAAATGGCATTAAAAATCTCAATAAGATATAAGACAACAGATAAATTATTTTTAAATAACAATTTAAGATATTAATGAGAAATTTACAAATAAAATAGATATCATAAAAAATCGGGAACTAATTAATTCATTGAATGAAATAAAAATATATTGGTAAGTTTCAAAACTGGGCTAAATCAAAGAGAATTTCAGAACTTGAAGACAGATTTTTTCAAGTTACCCAGTCAGAAAAAAACAGATGAAAAAATTAAAAAGAATAAAGAAAGTCAACAGGACATATGGGACACCATAAAGAGACTAAATATTCAAAATTTTGATGTCCCAGAAGGTGAAGGGGAAACAAAATAAATAGAACAGCTATTTAACAAAATAATGGCTGTAAACTTCCTAAGTCTAGCAAAATATTTACACATCTAATACATAATAAACAGAAACTCCAAAATATACACAACTATTTCTTCCCCAAGTCACATTACAATCAAACTGTAAAAAGTCAAAGAGAGAATTCTAAAAACCCCCAAAAATGCACATAAAGGCACACATAAAGGAACTTTCATGAGACTAACAGCAAATTTCTCAGCAAACCTTACATGCCAGGAGAGAATTGGATAATATATTCCAAGTGGTGAAAGAAAAGAAAACTGCCAGCCGACAACACATACCCAGTAAAGGAACTTTTCGTAAATGAATGAGAAATAGTCCTTCCCAGAAAGGCAAAAGCTGAGAGGGTTTATCACCACTAGAATGGCCCTACCAGAAATGCTTAAGAAAGTCATACACCTGGAAGTGAAAGGACAATATCCACCATTATGAAAAAGTATAAACATATAAATCTCACTGGTAGAGGAAACACAAAAAATAATAAAAAGAAAGCACTGAAATGGTACCACTACAGAAAATCACCAAACCCCAGTGATAAATAATAAGAGAAAAACTAAAAAACAAAGAATATATAAAACAACCAGGAATCAACTAATAAAATGACACAAGGAAGTCCTGTCCTATCAATAATAAGCTTGAATGTAAGTAGGTTAAATTCCTCACTTAAAAAGATATTGACTGGCTGAATGAATTTTTAAATAACCCAATTATATGCTGCTCACAAGAAACTCACTCCACATGTAAATGTGTATCTAGTTAAAGTAATGGGATGAAGTAAAATGTTCCATGGAAATGAGAAACAAAAGCAAGCAGGAATAGTTGTACCTAAATAACAGACTTTAAAGAAAAAAAAAGGCAAAAAGACCAAAAGTATCACATAATAATAAAATAATAAATTCAGCAGGAGACTATAATACCTCCTGAGTCCTAGGCAGCTACAAGGCACCATTTTGAAGGTCTAGACCCATACCAGAATGCATCCTGCATAAGAGTGTGGTATATACACTCTTATTCAACATAGTATTGGAAGTTCTGACCAGGTCAATCAGGCAAGAGACAGAAATAAAGGGTATTCAAATAGGGAAAGAGGAAGTCAAATTATCTTTGTTTGCAGATGACATGATATATACATACACACATATATGTATATATATGTATATACATACACACATGTATATGTATATACACGTTTTCTAGATATATGTATATACATACATATACACGTATATACATACACATATACACGTATATACATACACATATACATGTATATACATACACATATATGTATATACATACATGTATTAGATACACAGGCACGTTCTATTTGTGTGTGTGTATATATAGCTATATGCACATATATAGAAAGTCATATACCTGGAAGTGACAGGACAGTATCCACTATTATTAGAACACATAGGGACCCTACTGCAGCTCCGTAAAGTTGCTGTAGCCAGACTGCCTCTCTAGATTCCTCTGATCTGAGCAGGATGTCTCTGAAAGGCAGCAGCCCCAGTCAGGGACTTATAGATAAAACTCCCATCTCCCTGAGACAGAGCACCTGGGGGAAGGGGTGGCTGAGAACACAGATTCAGTGGACTTAAACATTCCTGCCTGCCAGCTCTGAAGAGAGCAGGGGATCTCCCAGCACTGAAATTGACCTCCACTAAGAGACAGACTGCCTCAAGTGGGTCCCTAACCCCCGTGTCTCCTGACTGGGACATACCTCCCAGCAGGGGTTGATAGACATCTCATACAGGAGAGCTCTGGCTGCCATCTGGCGGGTACTTCTCTGGGACGAAGCTTCCAGAGGAAGGAACAGGCAGTAATCTTTGTGTTCTGCAGCCTCTGCTGGTAATACCCAGGAAAACGGTCTGGAGTGGACCTCCAGCAAACTCCAGCAGACCTGCAGCAGAGGGGCTGTTAGAAGGAAAACTAACAACAGAAAGGAATAACATCAACATCAACAGAAAAAACAACCACACAGAAACACCATCTGAAGGTCACGAACACTAAAGACCAAAGGTAGATAAATCCATAAAGATGAGGAAAAACCAGTGCAAAAAGGCTGAAAATTCCAAAAACCAGAACGCCTCTTCTCCTACAAAGGATAAAAAATCCTCACCAGCAAGGGAACAAAACTAGACAGACAATAAATTCGACAAATTGAAGGAAGTAGGCTTCAGAAGGTGGGTAATAAGAAACTCCTCAGAGCTAAAGGAGAATGTTCAAACCCAATGTAACAAAGCTAAGAACCTTGAAACAAGGTTAGGGGAATTGCTAACTAGAATAACCAGTTTAAAGAAGAACATAACTAACCTGATGGAGCTGAAAAACACAGCACGAGAACTTCGTGAAGCATACACAAGTATGAATAGCCGAATCAATCAAGCAAAAGAAAGGATATCAGATATTGAAGATCAACTTAATGAAATAAAACATGAAGACAAGATTAGCAAAAAAAAAAGAAAGAAAAGGAGCAAACAAAACCTCCAAGAAACATGGGACTGTGAAAAGACCAAACCAATGAAACATAGGAAAGAAAGGAACCAAGTTGGAAAACACTCTCCAGGATATTATCCAGGAGAACTTCCTGAACCTAGCAAGACAGGCCAACATTCAAATTCAGGAAATACAGAGAACACCTCAAAGATACGCCTTGAGAATCATCAGATCCACCAAGGGTAAAATGAAGGAAAAAATGTTAAGGGCAACCAGAGAGAAAGGTGTGGTTACCCACAAAAAGAAGGCCATCAGACTAACAGCAGATCTCTCTACAGAAACCCTACAAGCCAGAAGAGTGGGGGCCAATATTTAACGTTTTTAAAGAAAAGAATTTTCAAGCCAGAATTTCAAATCCAGCCAAAC